AATAAGAACCAAGATGCATTATGTAAAAGTACAATTCCCAATGAGAAATGTAATTGTGTTGTATACCTACAATGTACCAATAAAAGAATTTAAAAACAACAACAACAAAAAACCAGTGAGGTGGAGTGAGACTGGATATAAATGCCCTGCGTGGGTTCTCTACCCCCTCTACTTGGTGGGGCAGCATGGTAGGTAACTCTGAGCCACCCTGTGCCAGAAGCAATAGGGCCTTGGGCTTGCCCCCCTGGACCTGTGCCTCTTTGAATTGTCCCTTGCTCTTCTAACTAAAAATACATTGCTGTTCCTTGGCCCCAGTGCCAGGAGCAGTGGGGCTGTTTGGCCTTGTTCCTGCTATTCCATTAGACAGCATTGAAATATGTAAAGCAAAAGAAGAAGAGAAAAAGAATCCCTCCCTGTTTTGATTCATTTGGAAAATGCAGGTTAGCATTGGCAGCCACCTCTTCAGCCTGGAGTTGATCTCCATCTGACTTGCTCAGTGATTTCCTTGAAACCACAGTACCAAAGGGTCTTTATCCTCATTTTCTCTGAGGTACCTGTGTTCCCTGTTCTTAGACTACATGCTTGAATTTAGTGCCCACAAAAAGTTAGTTTAGCATTGTGATGTTTGGCAGCAAGATTATAGATAATTTTATTGTCCTCTCGGATGCCTTTCTGTATTTCCCATGTGGGCTATGCAAAGCACAAGGGAGAAAATAGTAGCAGGCAGCAAATGGATATCACTTTACAGCCAAAAGGACCACCTTTCTTATCCTCCCTAAAGAAAGGTAGAGGCCTCAGCATCTCCATCCTCATGGCAGTTGCACTTCAAGTTTTGAAGACCATGCTTTCCTTATGTGTCTTTTGCTTTTCAGAACTTTAGAAGTTAAAGGTCTGCAAATTTTTTTTTTTTTTTGGTGCCATGGATCGAACACAGGACCTTGTGCTTTCGAGGCATCACTGAGCTAAATCCCTGGCTAAGGTCTGCAAATATTTAGCAGGTACTCTTGCAGTTGTGGCCCAGTGGCTGTTCCAAGACAATGGGAAAACCCTAACACATTGCTTGAAAATGTGTTGGTTAAATAGACTCTGTAGTGCTCCCCCAATTCTCTTTTTTTTAAGACAGGGTCTCTCTATACAGTTCAGGCTGGCTTGAACACACTATGTATATGTAGCGCAGGCTGGCCTTGAGCTCGCAGTGATCCTCTTGCCTCAGCCTCCCAAGTGTTGGGATTACAGGCATGTGTCACCATACCTGGCTACCTCTCCAAGTTCTTATTTCCCTTTTTGAGCAGGTAGAGGATCAGAAAAATAACCAGAATGTACAGAGGAAATACAGCAGGTATCTGCTGAGGCCATGTAAGTTAGAGGAGCCAGGAAAACTTTCTTGAGGCATGTTTACAGGCATATGCATCAGGGAAAAGTGGGGACCAGGTGTATATCCTCTGTCTGATGTATATGGACCAGGGACAAGTTGCTTATTTTGTTTTGTCTTGTTTTTGTTGAATGAATTGAAACAGATGATAAAAGGATCCTCACAGCTTTCATAGCCTTTCTGTGACCGAGAAATTGAGAGTAGAGGCAATAATGCCACAAAAGCCATAGTTACCCCTCTGTTCCAGTAACCACTGTTGGTGGTTTGTATTTTTTGAGAAGTAGCAGTTCGTGATTTTCAGTTCAGACACCTGTAATTCTGGACCTGGCCTCTGGAAGTGAGCTTTTCGTTTCTTGAGCAGGAGTGCCCTGAGTTCCCAGGCACCATTTCCCCCTTTGCTGAATGTCACACATGGGAAGAGGTTTTGTTTTGGCCTTAACATCAGGGCTTCAAAAGAGACTTTCAGAGTTTTGGGAACTGGAGTCATGGAGCACAATTTCTATTGGTTAATTCTTTCTGATTAAAGGGATCTAATTCAATTAAAGTGTTTGTCAAAGGACAGATTTATTTGCATCGCATTCTGAGGCTAATTCAGAAACCATTTGTGCTTAAGAAGAGAAA